CCCAAGGTAGCCAGTGCATATAACAATAGCGTGCACTTAGCCACTTGTCGTACTCCCAGTGAACTGCATAAGTCCTTTAGACCGCATAGACCGTTTGAAGGACTTAACCGGGACCAGATTCATAAGCTATCGCCCGGTACTAGGGAGTTTGCGATACAGCACAAGAAGGAGTTAGCTACCATTGTTGAAAACCTCAGGAAGGCCCAACACCGAATGATAGAGCAGGCTAATAAGCACTGTCGCCCGTCGCGGTTTCAAGTAGGCAACCTAGTCTGGGTCAAGTCCAAAGAGTTTGCTCCTGAGGAAAACATTTCGCAGAAGTTATATACAGGGGACCATGGCCAGTTCTAAAGGTTAAGGGCGGAAAGGATGGGCCGTCCTATACAATAAAGATTCCAGCACGCCTCCACACCTACCCTATGTTCCATGCGTCAAAGTTGTTGTCGTGTGTCACAAGTCCACAGTTTCCATCAAGAAGATCCATGATCCCCCGTGTGTCACAAGTCCACAGTTTCCATCAAGAATCCATGATCCCTCCGGACATGGATGGAAGATATGACATTGAGGGCATTGTAGGTGAAGACGTATTCAAAGGAGATAGAGGTCGTCCACAGAAACAGTATAAGGTCCGATTTGCGTATCAAGAACCCGAGGACGACCGCTGGTTTACTAGAACTGCACTTCTAGAAACAGCTCCCGACGTAGTTAGAGCCTACGAGAGAGAAAGGAAAGGTAAAAATCCGGTCTTGGACTGAATTATTATCGGAGGACCTCGAATTCAGGCCAGCGGGAGTGAAACGGCATTCACCTGTTAGTAGTAGCGAATGCAGATCCCAGGGCTCGATCCCTAGTTCTTACCTTACCTGTGTACAGTACCTGTGTCGACCCCTAGAGTTGAACCCGTGACCTGTGTATTCGCAACAGTTGGTAGGTTGTCGTAGGTCCGTAGGTTGTAGGGGTTCGATCTGTAGACCTGTCAGATAGAGGTCTTAGTGAGTTCTAGAAGTCGTAGTTGTAGCTCTTCTGAAAGGTCAAGTTCGTAGCTGCTACAGTCCTGAGAGGTCAAGGTCGTAGCTGCTACAGTGTTCGAAAGGTCCGAAAGTGGCCTTTCGAAGTTGTCTCACGTTTGGACAGAGGCAAGTGGGCAAGTCGTGAGCCCAACTGCGTTACGTCAGCAGTGCGACTGCATTGAGTTGGCAGTGCAAACCCATGCAGTCAGCGGTACCGGCTCCAGTCAGTCACAGTCTAGTCAAGCAAGCACCGTGTGGGACTGTGTGCACCAAGGGCATGGGAAAGGGGCAGACCAACGAGTTACAAAAGTATAAATCAAGAGGCAGCGCCCAGCCATTCATTCATTCCTGCGTAAGTCATGCGGAAGTGTTGCTTGAGCGACTTGTGCGAGGTGGTCTGCAGAGTGCCCGAAGACGAAGTGGGCTGAAGAGGATAGTTAACCATAGCTAGTGAGGGACAGCGGCCACAGCCGCCATAGCTGATAGACGAGTGTATGAGTACGGGAGTGTGTGTATGTGTGTGGGATATCCAGGGTGATCCGGAGTGAGTGAGTGCGAACAGTGGTATTGGACAGAGTGACGAGAGTTGGTAGGCGCTGACGTGCCATAGCCTGTTGAAGCGAGTTTGTATCTGAACTGTGTTTTCGACTTCCATATCTTTGAGCTTTGAGTGGGCGTTGTGCGCTAGTGTGATCCACCATCTGTTTGCATGAATGCGAAGTGGAAAGAGAAGCGTGTCTGATTGCAATTCTTTAATTAAATATTTAGTTTTTGCCAAATTAAAATTTTATTTAATTAACTCCTAGGCTACCAGAGTGGCCCGGGGTCATTTGCACGGGCGGGCCAAAAAAACTAAAAAAATAAAAATAAAAAAAATATTTTTAAATTTTAATTTTTATTTTAAATTTGGTGAAGAATTTTGATGTGACCCTGAGGCGAAAGTTGTTCAGTTTATTTTTCTGCATAACATAGTTTTTTTTTCCGGATTTGTTGGATTTTTTTTTTTTTTTTTTGGGACCTTCCCTGGTCCTTGCACGGGCTGGCCACTCGGGACCCGGGCGGCCCGGCTGGTAGCCTAGATTAACTCGTATTTTTCCTGATTAAATTTACTTAATTAAATAATTAAATATTTAATATTTAATTTTTCAAAGTTCAAATTTTTTCGTGCGAGGAAATTTATTTTTCAAAATTCAATTTTTTTCGTGCGGGGAAATTTATTGTTTTCTTGATTAGCATCAAGTCCGAGGTCAGGGCAGGAAGGGACTGTCTATGCATTGTTTGCCTCCCTCCCTTCTTCCCACCCCTGTTTTCTCTCCCCTCCTCTCAGTACTACGGACTTCAGCCTCCAAACACGTCAGCAGCGTGACACGTCAGCAGCAACGTAACGTCGGGACTGATGCACCGCAGCTAACGACTTGCTGAACAAGGATCCAAGGGAACTCAGCCCCAGAAGGGCCCCAGGACATCTCGAATCTCGTGGAAACGACGCACGACCATCGCCGCTACCGCTGATGCCAATTCACAAGCCAGCCCCGCAAGGCCGGTTACTCCTCCTATGCCAGTTCAGCTGGCAGATAAAACGCAACTAGCGTTTCTCGAACGTCTACAGCTATACTCGGAGACTACTGCAGCTAAACTTCGCAACTGGGAACAGGAAGAAGCCGCCCGCCAGCAGGCGATCCAACGACAACTGGCAGAGGCCGAGGCAGCGTGTCAGCAGGCCGCAGCAGAACCTGCAGCAGCCGCGCAGTTACAACAACAGCAGACGGAGGCGAGTCAGAATCAAGTTCGTTACCAAGCCACAACGGAGCTCGCCAACGAAGAAGCCACGTACCGGCAGTTACTTCGACAGCAGCACTTTCAAGCAAACGAAGAACAAGAGGAGCCGACCCAGGAAGAGAGAAGCAAGGAGGCAATAGCGGTACTGATGGAAAACATGTTGTACACGTGCAATTGGCAGCAACCCGAACTGCTGGCCATGCGGCAGATCTTCATCCGCTACGAAACAATTTTTCGGACGCTGGATCAGAAGATCGTTAACTTGCAGGCCGAGAACAGTACACTTCAGGCCGCCAACAGTCACCAGCAGGCCATCAACGATCAACTACAGACCAAGGTCAGCACGGGGTTGGCACGTCTATCTGCAGTTGAGTCGACGGGCAGTGCAGTTTCGGACTGCAGCCCAGCTTTGGCCGCTCAAGCCAAGCAACTCGAAGAGCGGATAAACCACGTAGTCACATCCCTTGGCGACATCAGCAAGTTCGTAGGGATGTCTACGGTCAGCAATCAGCTGCACACGCTCAGCGACCGCGTTACGGCCAACAACAACGAACGCGCTCTACCTCCAGCTCATTGGAGGCGCACAGGCATTCATGACTCACATGGCCGTCACGTTGGAATGCACCATCGTCACCCTCCACACCAAGATCTCTTCGGAGGACTTCGAGAAGAAGTGGAAGACCCGGTTCATGGTCAACAACGACAAGCGTCACGCATTGAACAAGATATTTCGCATGTTTCAAGGCCAGCAACCATCACGGGAATGGCTGACGGAGTGGCAAAGACTCGTCACCACCCCGAAGTTGAACCTGTCGTTCGACTCAATCTAGGTCAAGTTCTTCGTCCGGTCTTGCGACGCCTTGACAGCTGCTCTTGGCAGCGGATTTCAGTACGAGACCTTTGATGCGATGATCTCAAAGGCAAGGGAACTCATACAAGGTAACCGGCACGCGGCCAATGAGGCCCGCCAACAGCCCGGTTACGTGGAGAAAGGAAAAGGTCAGCGAACGTCGTAAATAGCAGCGATCCAACAAGGATCTAGTGAGGACCATGCAGCCGCTTCAACATCAAGTGACGGAGATGTGGTGGCAGCGATACCACCGCAACGCTCAAGGCCCCGTAGGGGAAAACATAAGGCGAAAACAGCATCGGCGGATGGAGCGAGACAGTCACCATGGACGAAGTTTGGGATCACCGAAGACATCGGCTCAAGTTATGGCAAAAATGGGGATGTTGTTTATGGTGCAACAGCACCAAACACATCACTAGTTCGTGCCAAGACAAGGACAAGGAAAATGTCAAGCGTCCAGGCTCGGGAGACCGAGCACCGCAGGAAGTGCAGCGACATCACTTTCCAGTCCGTCGGACTTGGCTGCCTTGCTAGCAGTCTCTCTCACGGCCGGGGATGACGCAGTAGTCGCAAATTCGCAGATCGACTTCGAGAACTATGCTGTCCAGCTGGTCCCACCGGTGAACCAGCCTCTCCACGTGCAAGATTCAAGCGCATGCGCGGTGTTACCGCCGTCGGACAATGAACCGTTTGCTTCTCCAGCCCTTCTATCGGAGGATTCGTCAACTCGGGCGAGTCTTGAGGAACTCGACCAGTTGACGGTTGAGGACTTCCAATGGTTGCCTCTTCCCTCCACCGTTTTTTTGACAAAACCGCATTGCAACGCCTTGATGGCGCATTTGCGCGAATACTTGCACGCTGCAGTACCACCTCCGTCGACGGACGACGGAGTACCGGTTGTCCACCTTCGTAGCTATCTTGCGAAGATCGACCGCGAGCACGCAACGCAACGGTACGTCGACATCAACGCGCCGCTCCTCTACATCCGCATTCAAATCAAAAAGGCAATCTGCAGTGCCTTGATCGATTGTGGAGCGACTCGCAATTACATCAGCCAAGACTTTACGGCACGCGCCGGGCTTGGCCCGCGCGTTCGAAGGAAAAGTCAGCCTACGCACGTCACGTTGGCCGATGGTCACACGCAAAAGTCAATCGACCGTTGCGTTTACTCCGTGCCCGTGTACTTTGCCCCGCTAGCATGCGAGGCTGTGTCATTCGTGTCATTCGACATATTGGACACTAAGTTTGATATGATATTAGGCATGTCGTGGCTGCAAAGCGAAGACCATCGGTAAACTTTTTCCGACGCACCGTTCACGTTCATGATCGGCGTGGCGAACTAGTTTCGTGCATGGTGCCGTTTCTTCATCCTTCGATTGGTTGTCACGTGGTCTCCGCGGCGAGCATTCGCCAATCCATCCGTCGGCACGACATCGAGGAGATGGGCATGTGTTTTCTTCACGCCCTCCCACCCGATGATCAGCCCAAGACGGCCACATCAGACCCACGCATCATTGAGCTTTTGGACAGCTATGAGGATATCTTCCAAGCTCCCGCCGGAGTAGTACCGAATCGGCCCATACGCCACGGGATCACTCTCAGGGACGGCGTCGTACCTCCGTGCGGATGCATCTACCGAATGAGCGAAGAGGAGCTTCAAGTGCTTCGGGCACAACTAGATGACCTCTTGGCCAAGGGTTGGATTCGCCCTAGCTGTTCGCCATACGGTGCTCTCGTTCTCTTCGTCTGGAAGAAGAACAAGGATCTTCATTTGTGTATCGACTATCGGAAACTTAACTCGCAAACGATCAAGAACGTCGTCTCTCTCCCTCAGATCGATGATCTTCTCGAGCGACTAGGCGACGCCAAGTACTTCTCGAAGCTTAACCTCAAATCCGGATATCACCAGATCGAGATCCATCCAAGAGATCAGTACAAGACCACGTTCAAGACGTGGTATGGGCACTTTAAGTGGATCGTCATGTCGTTCGGTCTCACCAATGCCCCGACTACTTTCCAAGCGGCTATGACGACGGAATTCCGCGACCTGCTCGACCGCACCGTACTCATTTACCTTGATGATATCTTGGTTTATAACCGGTCGCTGGACGAGCACCTTCGCGCCATTTTGGAGCGGCTCCATATCGCCAAGTACAAGGCAAACCGCGACAAGTGCGAGTTTGCCCAGCAAGAACTGGAGTATTTGGGCCATTACGTTACGCCGAAAGGCATTCGTCCGCTCGAGGACAAAGTACAAGCCATTCAAGATTGGTCGGACCTCACGTGTACTACCGACGTTCGCTCCTTTCTTGGCTTAGCATCATACTACATGCGCTTCGTCAAGAGCTTCCAACGGATCGCTGCACCATTGTCACGACTTCAGTCCCCCTTGGTGCCCTTCGAGTTCAACGACGAAGCCCGACACGCGTTCCATACGCTGAAGACGGCTTTGCTTCAAGCTCCCGTCTTAAGCATCTATGACCCAACCTTGCCAACCAAAGTGACTACGGATGCTTCCGGCTACGACATTGGCGCAGTTTTGGAACAGCATGACGGCATAGACTGGCATCCGGTTGAGTACTTCAGCCAAAAGGTGTTGCCCATCAATTCCCTTGATGATGCGAGGAAGAAGGAACTGCTAGCTTTGTCACAGTACTTGAGCGTTGGCGTCACTTCCTCCTTGGGCATCGGCGATTCACGTGGGCAACGGACAACAATCCGTTGACTTATTACAAGACGCAAGACACAGTGAGCAGCACGATCGGTAGTTGGATGTATTTCATTGACCAGTTCGACTTCACCACCAAGCATATTTCGGGCCCCTCGAACAAGGCGGAGGATGCTCTCTCGCGAAGACCCGATCTTTGCGCCTCGATGCACTCCACATTTGGCCTCGACGAGGACCTGCAACAGCATTTCGTAAACGGCTACAAGTCGGATCCGGGATTCTCCACACTCTACGCGGACTTATCATCGGATCACCGACCCGCAAGCAATTATCGCATTGTCGACGGCTACTTACTTCTCCATACGCGAGGCAAGGATGTGTTGTGTGTACCCCAAGACCGCATCTTGCGCACTCGCCTCCTTGGCGAATACCACGATTCGCGGCTGGCGAGACACCTTGGCGTCGCATGCACTCTTGCACGACTCCACCAACGATTCCACTGGCCGGACATCATCAGCGACGTCAATAGGTACATTCACTCATGTGCAGTTTGCCATCGGAACAAAGGGCCACATCAGCTCCTATACGACGAACTGAAACCATTGCCGATTCCTCAGGAACCAGGTCTCTCCATTGCTATGGATGTGACCGGTCCTTTCCCTCGTGATCGCCTTGGCCATGATGGTATTCTCACGGTCGTCGACCGTTTGAGCAAGTACGCTCAATTTCTTCCATGCAAGTATCATGCGACGGTTCCCAAGCTCGCACGACTCTTGCACACCGGCTGGTTTTGCAGCCACGGTGTTCCGGAAGACATCGTCAGCGACCGCGACACTCGTTTCATATCAGCCTTTTGGACGACACTTTTCGTGGAATCCAGCACCAGCATGAAACCGAGTTCCACACGGCATCCTCAAACGGATGGGCAAACGGAACGTGCGCACCAGACTGCGCAGATGATGCTCCGCACATTCATCCGCCCGGACCAGAAGGACTGGGTTGACCGCCTTCCCGACATCGAGTTCGCCTACAACACTTCGGTGCACCCAGCGATCGACGTGACTCCATTTGAGTTGCATCACGGTGGACGGAAAGGGCCGCATCTTCGCAGGCATTCTGCTTCCACAGGCTGCCGATATCGACGCCGCTTGTTCCCCCGCTTCCACAGGGAAGTATAGGGATCTGCTGGCCAAAGCCCGCCAAATATGCAAAAGGCTCAGGTCTGTATGCAGCAGCAAGCAAACCAGCGTCGCATCCCATGCCCAATTCGCGCTAGCGACCTTGTTTGGGCCACCTCCGAGGAATCCGCGCTCTAGTAGCACGTCTCGCGCAAGCTCCTCCCTAAGTGGTTTGGGCCATGGAAGGTCACTTCAGCAGCTGGCGACGACCCCGCGGTTCCCTCCTTCATAATCGAGATTCCCCCGCATCTGACAGTCCACCCTGTATTTCATGCTTCGAAGCTGGCGGTCTACACTCCAGCCTCACGAACGGAATTCCCAGGCAGACGGTCCCACGACCCTCCTTCGATGGACGGTCACCAGGAGGTCGACCGCATCCTCGCTCAATGCAAGCACGGCAACAAGCCGATGCAGTACAAAGTTGCATTCAAGCAATGAGATCCCGACGACACACGCTGGATTTCACAAGCTGACCTGAAGGCAACAGCACCCCTCATCTTCGCACATTACGAAAAATAGCGACTTGCTAAGGAAGCTGCCCAACCCGCCCGCCCCGTACGGACATCGGACAGACAGCTTCGCCCTCGCAGTTAGCTCAGTCTTCAAGGGGGGGAGTGTGTGGCATACTGATACCACACGGGCCCCAGTTAGGGCCCAGTTCTGTAGTAGGCACGAGTTAGGCCTAGGTACTGGGTCCCGACGGTCCCCAGCTAGGTCCAGGTAGGCCTAGGGAACCGCCGGTTCAGATTAGAGTCCGGTAGGCCTAGTTTAGACCCACCAGACCCAACGGCTAGTTGAGTTTAGGGCAGGTACCGGTCCATCGGTAGGACCGGCCGGCGGTGCAGTTTTAGGAACCACTTTTCAGATTCAAATCAGATCTGAACCGTTGGGCCCGATCAATGGTCCAGACCCGAAGGCACTCAGTAGGACTGAGGCCGACCCAGCACTATATCAGCTGGGTACCAGCCTCAGTCGTAAGTTAGTAGCGAGGATGTTAGTTTACAGGATTACCGCAGCACTTCAGCGTTAGCAGCGGAGCAGCGGAGAGGATCACCGCAGCGTGGAGGAGAGATAGCGCAGCGGCAGATTAGCGCAACGGTGGAAGAGCGCCAGCCTCCGGCCCAGCCCGTGGCCCAGCGCCAGCCCTGCAGCGCCATAGCTGCCTCGCGCAGGTATCAGGGAGAAAGGCATTGCCTTTCCTCCCTCTTCTTCCTCCTCCACTCTCCCTCTCCCTCTCTCTCCCTCTCCTCCTACCCTCTAAGTCTAAGTCTACTTCTGGGCTACTGCTACGGGACTACTACGAGTATGAAGGATGGTTACGAGTTCTGATGATGTGGGGATAGCAACATTGAGACTGCAGGTTGAGGACTACTTTTGGGATCTGATTTCATCTACCCCTGGAGATGTACCTTGACATTGTGAGATCGATATCTGAGACACGGTGAGACTCTGTGTTCACGACATTTTGGATTTTCACTGCTTCTGGTATTTCGAGAGACTATCTTTGGAAACATTGAGCTGACGTCATCTTCCCTCTCCTCCTCCCTCCGTCTCTCCTCCCCTCCATTCATCCGTTTCTGACCCTGGCCTTTTCTTCTATGTCCAAGGCCAGGGCTTCACACCACCGATGTATGTTTGTGAGTATTTTGTTGCAGTCTGAGTCAGGTCTGGGTCAATCCATGTATGTCAAGTCTTCCACTGTATTTGTATTTGTATTTACTCTGTATTATCTGGTCGGTTCTGGGAGTCTGCGCCATCCTTATGACTGTGTTTCACGAGTATGCAACAGTCCGTATTTCAACGGTTCATGGGTATACCAGCTCAGTCAGGCGGGTTGGTAGGAACTGTCTTTGCATGGGTATGACCCAGGGCTTTCATTTTCTTTTTCCTTTCTCCCCTTTTTTTTTACCACGTGTGTAGGTGTCTGTGTGCGTATTCCTTCTTTCTTTGGTGTGTCAGGCTCCAAAATGGCCGGCCATTGGATCGGTGCTGCCACTACTTGGACCTTCTCGTCACCATGGCCGCACAGGATCAAGTTCAGTCCCAATCCGGTGGATACCCTGCTCCCGTGAACATGTGTGTGCTATTTCTACTTTTTTTTTTTTTTTTAATGGACCACTTCTCGATTTATGGGTGTCATCCTTCCGCAGGGGCCATGTTAATCTGCTCTGCATCGTTCCCCCGAAGGACGTTTCTACTTTTTTTGGTGTGCCAGGCTCCAGGATGGCCTACCATTGGATCGGTGCTGCCACATGGAGTTCTACTTGGACCTTGTTGTCATCGTGGCCGCATAGGATCAAGTTCAGTCCCAATCTGGTGGCCACCCTGCTCACGCGAACATAAAGTATGGTCTTTCTGGGCCTTCTGGCTGTATTTAGGACAAATTTCCGGCGATCATCTTCACTCGAATAGAACGTATGGTCATTATAGCCATATTTTCGGAGCAACCTTCAACGTAGATGCAGCGATAATGACCATGCGTTTTATTTGGGGGAATATGGCAGTAGGAGAACGCCTCGGGCCAATTTCTGTACTCTGGATTCCCTAGAAGCTGCGCCAAGATCCCTGCTACTCCGCAGCTGCTCCACTGTCACCTCCCCGACGAATAGATAGCAGAAATTCTCAACCTCGGAATTCCTGCCTTTGGGCAGCGCTCCACTACTCACCAATAGTTAGCAAAATGAGAACGCATCTTCCGCTAGAACACGGGAAGATACGCAACATGTTTTTCATGTTTTCTGCATATGGCGAGTAGTGGAGCGAGGCCCTTTACCCAGCCCTTGTGGACGAGGGCTGGACGCAGATCGGAGCTGAAACGCATGAGACGAAAGCTCGCCAATTAAACTTGGGGCGAAAACCACAACCGATGATTTCTTTCTTTTTTTTTAATAAGACGCGATGGCTTAAAAATCTGTCGGTCTTACTCTTTCCCTCTATGTTTTTGGCCGTTTGCCAAATATCAGGCAGGGTAGATTTCCCTACATGAAAGAGAGGGAGAGAGAGGGAGGGGGGGGGGGGGGGGGGGGGGGAGGGGGGGGGAGGGAAACAGAGAGAGACGCACGAAGAGAGACAGATGGACGCACAGCGAGAGAGACAGAGAAATCACCCTGAGCAAAGATGCAAGCCTCTACGATGAGGCACAATAAATACTATATTCTCACTATTCAATATACATGAGAGAGAGGTGGGGAGAGAGAGAGAGAAAGAGGACGGGGAAGAATAACAGAGAAAGAGACACGGGGAGAGACCGATCGACGCACAGAGAGAGAGAGAGAGAGAGAGAGATCACCCTGGAGAGAAAAAAGAAGATCAAACGGCTAATGAGCCACATGAAGACGAAGGCAAAAGGTTCTCTATAGAAGACTGGTAATAACGCTTAAAATCGTCATGTATAGCAAACGTGGATTATCAGGCTAGGACACTCTGCAGACTGTAGAGGGCTCAGCCTCCTGATGAGTCGGTGAAACTTCGAACTAACACTCTGTCACAGCCCCTCGTTCATTGCCCTTCTCTCTCTCTCTCTCTCTCTCTCTCTCTCTCTCTCTCTCTCTCTCTCTCTCTCTCTCTCTCTCGCTCGCTCGCTCGCTCGCTCTGCCTACAGTTCCCCGGGCAGTTCTCTATGACGATATGGCCCTCGCTCCACAACTCACCAAATGTGCAAAATGAGAATGAATCTTTTCCCAAATGTGCACAATGAGAATGATTTTTTGCTATAACATGGGCAGATACACCGCCATATCTTTTGTCTTTTGTGGATGTCGTGAGCAGTGGAGCGAGGCCCGTAAAGCGGAAATTTACTAATTACATGAATATCGAGGCACAGTACCAAGCTACCCGCTACGGCGAACCTCACTCCCTGCTTGTGCCTTTTTTCTTTTTGCCTCTTTGTTTTTCCCTTCTTGTCCTTTCTTGTCTTACTGTAGTACCTTGCCGTCGTCTG